AGAACTTCTTCAGAGTCATCAAAAATTAGAGACTTTCCACTTACTAAATCCTTTTTAGATAAATGCAGCAAGTCAGCCCAAGGGTCTTAAAGCAAAGTGAAGACTAAGTTCTAAGTTCGGTTTTCCACTGATTTGAAAGCATTTTTGACAAAAGATTTCTATTAGCTGACAAATTACTTATATTTCATGTCACTTCTCTAAAGTCTGAATGCTTGAGGCATGTAATACCTCAAGATGATTTTGAATGTTCTTAAGTAAAATGAAACTTTGAAAATTTAAAATATGTGAAATATTCTCAAGAGCAAGCCAGAGGCATTTTCACAACAGCATAATGCAGTTTGTGCCTGTATTTCTTTCATCTGTTTCACATTGGGCCCTAAATATACCTCAAATATTTTCAATATTCCTGGAAGAAAAAAATCAGGCTTCTTTAATTATATATTAGTAAATACTTTTCTGTACCCTTTTAGGTAAAGCAAGAATTCTACCTATGTAAATGGTTGGTTCCTTTTTTACATTTACAACATAGCGTTTGTTTCCTTTTGTGCACCAGAATGTCAAGACTTATTTGGCCTTCAAATATTTTTAAATCATTATAGAAAAATATTACAATCTGTATTACTTTCAGTTCTTACTATGAACTATGATGATCTATCGATCAAAGTAAGATACTAAAAAAGATTGTATCCATATTATCATTAACAAAAAACACTCAAAGGCTTAAGGAGAATGAGAGCTTATGCCAGCATCTGTGTTATCACCAATACCTATATATCAATAAACAAGCAAGAAGAAAGGATGAGACTTGCACTTAAATAAATTAGAGGAGTGAAGATAGTTCAGGAGAGGACAGGAGGAAGACTCTCAAACTTTGTGAAGATTGCAAAATAGCTCCATCTTTAATTCAACCTCCAAGTTGAAACTTAAACCTCAAAAATTATATTCCTTAAATTGGAATTTGATTATCTTTTGATTTTCCCCATCTTGAGTCTATCTTTTGTTCTACCCACAAGTCTGCCTTCCTGCTTCAGAGCTATCAAGACCCCCAAATCCATATTGAACAAGAGCTATAAAACTCCCTAGGATTTCTGCTGTGCAAGTGTTTTCTCTGTGTATTATGCCAATTGGACCAGCATTACCAGTACTACCTGCTTTGCAGTTTTGTGGTAAGGAATTTCTCCTTCTCCAGGTTTCTCCCATTTCCTCTGCTTTCTTTAACACAATTTTCTCATTTCATAGGCATGAAATACAATGATTTCAGGGTCAGCATCACCAAATCTTATACTCATTTACATCAGTGAAGCTGAGGCAAGAAATAGGCAAAACGTGCCTAAACAGGTTGGGATATGAAATACTGGTATGTTATCCCTTACTGGTCCATAAGATGCATTTTAAAGTAATTCTAAAGATTTTCTGGTGCACCTCATCATACGTATATCAGGATAAGTTCCCATTGACTGTAGTGAGATTTCTGTGATGTAAGATACTGTTTATGGAGAAGGCTGGTAACAAAAACTGGGACTCGGGTTCAATGATCAGTAGAAGTGTAAAAAAATTTCTTTAAAATATAGACAAAATTTTGCCCCCTGTTTCAGTCAAACGAATCAGCACATCTGTTACTAATTCAAAAATTTTGAGTTGAAAATAGAACCACCAGGAATGTTTGAATGGCAAAGCATGCAGAAATGCTCCACCCTTTTTGAATAAGAAAATCAAAGATACAGTGCACTATTTACTGTTGTGTGATCCAAAAGAGCAAGAGAATGCAGGAAAATATATTTTTCTGTGGTGTTGACCTGAGAGTACAGTGTTCATGTTTCATGCTTGCCTTGTAGAAAAACAGGCAGCTTTGCAAGCAGAATTTTATAGTACATTCATCCCATCTCTAGCACTAATTTTAGCATGCAGCCTGAACTGACCCCCTAGAATTGCTTTTGCTGCAGAAAAAGCTTGTATTAAGTGCAGAAAACCTGGAAAAAAATCATGATCAAGCCTAAGATAAACAATGACATGCTTTTACTCACACATAACACTGCAATGTAAAGTATTTAACTCTTCTGGCCATGTGCTTCCTTCGAGAGTACAAGTAAAAACAGTAAAGTAAGTTCGGAAAACAGAAGTATTACAGTGATTATTGCTACTGCCTGGCAGAAATGCATCAACCAAAATTAAAGGTAACCTGATAATAATTTTCCAGCACTAGCTTGAAAAGGCATCAAATTTGTACAGCCAAACAAAGCATACAAAAATAGTTCTCCAGAACACTTGGGAAGGGGACATTTTCTGGTTTATGCAGTTCATTTTAAGAAAATACAGAAACATATGAAGTAGTAAACAAACCCATTCTGAAAATGATAAAAAAGGAAAGAAACTTAGAAAGGATCATTGAGGTTGTATTTCAGCATAATATGAGCATACAACAGCTACAGAACAATGTTGCAGCCTATGAGTAATGACACAGACATTTATGTAGAACATAAGGGAAGACAACTATGTCAATAACAGTAAAAACTGCAAGAAACACTGAAAGCTTGATAGAGAAGTTGTGTTTTCATTCTGCTCAGTAATGAAGATTATTTCTTTTCCATGGTTGATGTGGTATCTTCAATCGTGATGTTTACATTTCCTTAAACAATCTGTAATTTTGTAAAATAGCCTCACCTTCATTCAAATGACCTCCAAGTGCCATGGTGCATTAACATTATTGGCATGCTGTTTCTCCTGGGCTTAATTCTAACAAATAAGCTATATGTTATTTTAAACCAAGGTGTTATTGGATTTTTCTCTAGCTTTGAAACTGAAATCTATGCACAGAAATACATACATTATTATAAACAAGCACAGAATGAAGAGAAGGAACCAATGATAAGGACTAAGTTTTGGCAGGGTAGTGGAATAGTTCAGCTAAAACTTGTAGAGAAAACAATTTCTTTCACTCTTAAAAAGCCAAAGAATTTCTCCTCTCCTTCTTAATTACCATAGCATAGCGTTACAAAATAAATATTTGAAAATTCTTATCTGAGGAAGAACCATCATATCCTGCAGGATGAGAATCAGGAAACACATGTCAAGTCATTAAAATGTGACCTGGAATAGTCATTACTATAAAAATAATTCAGATGATTGGAAAAAGCATAAAGTTTTCTTTCAATCACATTCATGAAACCCCAGTTGACAGGATTGCATAAAAGAAGAGATAAAGTTTGTATCAGCCTAATTTTAATTATACCTTTCCTGTTAGATTGTGTAACTTGGCTTGAATACTAAAACACAAATATGGCCAATTCACACAATGTGAAATTCACAGCAAACCCATCATCATTTATAGCAAATTCACATAGCTGAAATTTTTGGGTAAAATTCAGGTTCAATCCACATCATGAATTTGTATGTTTAGGAATGTTCTCATTGAAGGTTTGATTTCAGTCTGTTCTCTGACCCAGTGAACTCTCTCAGCTTTCATATTAAGCAAAAAAATTTGGTTCAATAGGCTCCTCTGCTGAAATGTGCAAATTACAGCTGTCCCACTGAACTTGGGTAAGTCAGCAGAGTGGCAGTGATGTCTCCCAAGCACTGAAATAGAGCAACAAGATCTGACATGATCAAGAAATGGAAAGGTTGCTGTAGTATTGATAGTGGGCTAAACTATCAAAATCAGTAATAATTCAAAATACAGTGCAAAACATAATAAGGCTTTTGGATGCTGCTGATTGCTTTTTAAGTTAAGAAAAGACCAAAGTGATTTAAGGACTCAGTTGTATACCTATAGGAGGTAGAAGCCTGCATATCAGCAAAGACTGGCAGATATTGTGCATGCTATTCTATCACTCACTAATTTAGAGATTTTAAGTATTTATTCTGTGCTGTTACATGCACAAATGCTATTTAGAGCCATTTTAAACACCAAATGTTAATTTTATAGAAACTTTAAAGGAATAGGGTAGGGTATAGGTGTAGGTATAGGTGGCACCAGCCAACAGAGAAATTATTTGGCTGAATGCTATTTTTGAATTAAATAGTATGCACTGGAATTATTCAGGGACTACACTGAGTAGGTAGGAACATGCAAGGGGATAAACATAGCAGCTTATTTTGTTGTTAAAAGTAATCAAACACAGTTGTATATTTACACGATCATACTGATTTTTAAATGTACTTCATACCAACAAATCCTATTTGAGCTTGTATTAGTGAACAAATTGTAAATGCTGGACAATTTTAAAATGTACTATTTTAGTGTTTTAAATTTTTTTTCCCCCAAACAAATTTCAAGATTGCTCAATCTGGAAAGGGCACTTCCAGTCTTGAGTCTAGCCACCCTCCGTTTTTTGGTTTGTTTGTTGTAAAAGGGTAGTTACTCAGAGGGAGAAGATCTTCATAAAGTTTAATGCATGAAACCTACAGCAAAATTTTACATTGGTCTTCAGTTAGGTCTGGGAAAATCTGTCAAACAATAGCATGAAATTGACATCATCTCTGTCTGAAAGCAGAACCACAGCGTCTCCTCACACCACCCTGTAACCAGATTTTGGTCCTGGTATGAGAGCTATGAGGGGGTTCCAGCAGCCCTCATGCCAGAGGCTGCCAGTTTAACCCACAAGAAAATTGGAAACAACTTTCCAGAAGAGAAGTATTAAGATTGCAAGTTGATCTGTTCTGAGGGAGGAACATTAATACTGTTGACAAAAGCAAACTCTTGGGAATAACTGTTCAGACAATGTATTCTGATGAGAAAGGCATCTGTCCACATATCTGCTCATGTATCTGTTTTGCAGAAACTTCATTTTCAGAGCAAAAGACTTTGTCAGTCATTTACTTTCCATTTTTACTAAGTGGGATGTCAGACAAGAGTCTTCCACTGAAATCAATAGAAGCAAAAGCCCCCTTGGATCAAGGAAAGCTTTCATTCAGGTGAGGGTAGTCTGAAGAATTTCAGGATAGCAACTAGCGTGAATCG